TTCCCTTTCTTTTGTATTTTTGAATCTCATATTTAAATATTACTATCCAACACGGCCATATTGGAAAGCGATCAACATCAACAGACACGAACTATTATTGGCCTATTACCATCAAATATTTTCTTGTATCTTCCTTCTGACCAAACAAATCATTAGTAGTAGATTCTATAAAATGCTATTTTAATTTTTTTTTGTAATTTCCTGAAGTTTAAGTTGAAACTTGTGGGAGTTGCTTAGATGAGGACAGCTACTTCCTGCAATAATTGAGTCCCATTCAAATTTCCAACCTCCATGAATGATAATATAATGCCCTTCATGCTAATCCTCCTCCTAAAATCAAGGAATATCCGGAAAAATATCCATAATTCTGGCTGTCTAGTAGGTCTTAGCTTTAATATTAGTGAGCATTGAACAACGTTGTGCTACACAAATTTGTTATTTAAATTTTATATCCGAAGTGATCTGTCAAAATCTCATACATTGAATATTTGCTAGAATTAATGGATCTCATTAATCCACGCACCTGCATTGATTTGAGATACAAAAATTTGGGCAACATACCATTGCTCATATTAATTTGTGTGTCCAATTCAATGGCTTAAATATCAGGATATTCATGAGATTACTTATTCATCCTAGAATCCTCATACCCTTATTTATATTTTGGGCACTTATTAGTAATCAAATTTGAAATTGGAAAACCATCGAGGTAGTAGCCTAGTTGGCTTCGGGTGAAAGTCCCTCTCTCATTCGGTAGTCATGGGTTGGAACCCACTTGCAATAGTAGTTTCTTTGAATCAAATACTGCTGGAGGGGCTTAATGTTAAACTTGTTCTCAATAATACTATGATGACAAACTCGACCATCACAAGTCCGTAGTTATAGCACAAATCGAATATTTTACAACTAGTAGGAACCTCAATGTAGCGTCTTGAATGGTTGATATGTATGGTCGTCCTTCGTCACCCTTATTTAATAACAAAAAAAAAATTGAAATTGGACAACACAACATAAAATGTGAAGTACATGGAAAAATTTGGTTGATCATTGCTAATTTTTTCTTCCTTTCTTTTTGTCACTCATTTTCCTCCACTAGGTCATTTCATATCCCTTCCTTCATTCATGAAAATCCCTCAATCATTTGAGATATGACCTACCATAAAGTCTTTGCCACACATATGCCATGAATCATTGTGTATCAAAAAATCTGGTCCTCATTACAAAGATTTCACACGAAAAATGATCCAAAAAAAGATGAAAAGATAGACTTAGAATAAAATGGTCCACAATTGTAGTAGGTGAGATGATTGCATTTGAAATTGAATGCAACCCCCTCAAATCAATCCATGTGTATGGTTCTACATTCTACAGATTGGTACCCAAAATTGCAAAACCTTGGCTTATCACAGATCTGTAAATCTTTCTTGTTTGGTGTTATTAGGTGTGATATCCCAGAATTGATAAATAAGTTTAGAAAATTTATATTCTCAATTGAGAGAGAGTGTATCTGATCTTCTAATCGATATTCCTTATTGTTGAAATTGTTATCATTTTCGATAAATAAAAAAAACCAGTGTATCATGCATGACCTTCTAGTGGGACCTTTAAGGTTATGTATACTTACACACATTATTGGCAGATCAAGGACCACATACACGTACATGTAGAGACAAAGGGAAGTGCCTACTCATCATATTCAATCCTGCTAAATTGGTAGTTTGATTTCATCACTTATGTCTCTTTTGATAGAGACCTGTGAATAATAGCAATCCAAATGTATGTGAGATAATGGAAGGTAGAAAATTGGGGGTGTTGGGGATTCAAGCCGGGAAGGGTAAAGTCTTGTTAGGTATAAGATTTTCTTATGGTCTCTTGCGTTGCGGTTGTTTGAGGCTAACCAAACAAAGTAAGATATTTCAATTGGTTGGCGTGAAAACACTGGAAAGTGCAGGAAAATGAAAGACAAAAATCAATTTTTACTTTGTTTGATTAGTGTAAGGGATAGAAATCCCTAAGGATTTCAGTCCTCCACTCGAAAGATTTCGGCTGATTTGGCGGCACCGAGTCCCAGTAGCATTTACCTCTCTTCGCCAATAGGACCCTTTCGTAAGGCAATCCCACGTCGGAAGAGAGTCATCTCCCCCCTGCCATATTAGTGAAGGCTATTGGGACTCGGTGCCGTCAGATCAGCCGGAATCCTTCGAATGAAGGGCTGAAATTTCGTAGCGATTTCTACCCACCCTTTCCTAAGGCAATACAGTAGCATTTACCTCCATCCCACATCGGGTAGGAGTCGTCTCCCCCCTGTCATATAAGTGAACACTTCCTATGGAGGAGGTACCCACTAGCCACTTGATCAGTTATATGGCAGGGGGGAAGACGACTCCTACCCGATGTGAGATGGAGGTAAAAGCTACTGTATTGCCTTGGGAAAGGGTGTAGGCCAGCTTGAGATCCGAACGCTCGATTTCTACCTTTAACAATTAGCTAAAAAATACAATTTCTCGAGAAAGTTTTTTTTTCCTTCAAGTGTTAAATTTTTCCATAAACATCTACCTTGATTTTTCATAAATTGTGCAGGAAAATTTTTGTTTGCCGTGAAAATTGCCTTATTTTTTTCTATTTTGTCCACTTACTCTTTTTTCCCATTAGATTGATATGATAAAGATAATTAGTCCACACACCAATTTTTCTTTATCTTTCTAACAAACTTTTTATTCTAATTAAACGCATAAAATAAAATAAAATAAATTTTTTATTTCATTTTCTTTCTTTCACTTTACTTTTTATCTTTTTTATTTTTCATTATCAATTTTTTTCTAACCATACGGAGCCTATAAATTGTGTAATTCATGAACCCTAAGCAAAATGTCTAGCATATAAGATTCCAAGTTGCTGTAAACCGATCCACCACACATAGTTCATGTTTTATTAGAAGTGTACTTGATTCGTATCCTAGCAAAATCAAACAAACAATCAGATAATTCTTCAACAATCGATACAAAATATATAAAAATTCAAAAAAAAAAAAACACATTTTCTTGTTGTAATATCAGTTTCATTTATTTATCATTTTATTCTCTTATTTTGGTTTAGTGGTCGGAGGTGTACGGGTCAATTTACGCGCACCTCAATTAATCTTCTTCTCGATTCGGTCAAAGACAAGTCATCTACGTCATGACTAGAATCTCCATAAAGAATAAATCTCCTATTACCTGATTCCAAGGGGATAAACTTATTTATTATTTGTACAAATTAGTCATGTTATTTTATATTTGTATGGTGCTAAGTGTTATGTCGTATTAACTTGTCTCGCTAAATCAATCATTGTGAATACATTGAATAGTATGTTTTTAAGATAGATATTAAGTGAGAGCTCTAAGAGATACCTCTTTACAATCATGGCTTATGTGGGTCCAATAATTAATGGGTCTATTCTTATAATTTGTCATAAAATACAAGTGAATAATATTAAGGATTAATAATACTTTTGGTCTTTAAATTATATGCATGTTTTGTTAATTTAGTCTCTAAACGATCAATTTTATCAATTTGATCCCTAAAGTATTCAATTTATGTTAAAATGATTATTACACAGACGGACCGTTAAGTTTTTAATAGAATGATCACGTGTTAGTCATGTGATATCTTCTAAAAGAATAATACGTGGTAACTTTAGTCAAAAAATAATACGAATTATCTAGTTAGGAATTAAAGTAACACAAATTTAAATTTTAGTGTCCAAATTGACAAAATTAATACGATAAGAATTAAACTGACAAAACGAACATACTTTAGAGATTAAAAATGCTATTAACCCTAATATTGATGTCATTCATCTGGTCACCATCTTTGCATAATTAAATGTGGGAATCAAACTGACAAAACAAATATAAACTAAAAATGCTATTGGCCCTAATATTAATGTCATTCATTAGGTCGCCATCTTTGCATAATTAAATGCCTTTTGCTTTAATTGCATCACTAAAGAACAATTGTCACCACACACCGACCATATCCTTAAAACAGATTTTCAATGACAAGGTCACCGACTATGTCAAAATGAATCCAATAGTATGATTTGATGCTTCAATCTATGAGAAGGAGCAGTTTTTTTGGCGTATTAGAACATTTTTAACCCTCCTCTTTAAAATAGTTTGTCAAAATATATTTAAATATTACATTCACTATTTTAGCTAACCATTTTTATAAATTCAGTCCAACTATACTCTCTATTTTAGCTAACTATTGCACTCAACTTTCACTAACTTTCAATAATTTAAAAGAAATAAAACATATATATAGAGAGAGATAAAGAGAAAAAAAGGTAGAGAGAATTTAGAGAGCTCAAATGGCTCACCACATTTGGTGAGTCATTTGGGTTAACTAGGAAATAGAGAGTAGAGTAGAGAGTGGGTTGGAGATGCTCTTAGAATCCGAATTTTTTAGTACCAATTAGTTCTCAGATATAAATGTGATTTTAATAACTTTAATTTCAATTAATTTGACTGCTTAAATTTTTTTAACAAATTGACAGGAACCTAATCATATATATAACCACATACGATTTATGAATGACCAATTCGAGGTTTGTGTGTGTGTGTGTGTGTGTGTGTGTGTGAGAGAGAGAGAGAGAGAGAGAGAGGGAGGATTTGAGCAATCCTTAAGCCCAATACATTGAAAATGTCATTCCAATGCCATATTAAGGCAACCCTCCATTTCTGTACAGAAAGGCCCGTGTTCGGGGTCGAGCCTGGGTCGAGCTTTTGTCTGAGGTCAGGTTTGGCTATGGGTCCAAGTGTAGGTTTGACTCAAATATTTGATTAAATTTTTAATTCTATTCTAACACTTTATCTTAGTTGTTACCGAACATTGAAATAACAATGTACATTCTATTTCATTCTTATGTTCATTTCATTCCCATATAAAAACATTATCACATACCAAAGGCAGCGTATAAATGGTTTAAGCTGCTAATCCTAGCACTTCTTGATGAATTGGCTCCTTTGGATTCCTTAAGCTTTTTGGTGTGGACTAGACCTAGACCACATTGCTTAGTGGGCTCACCCTATTTGATGTCCTTCCCACCACTATTTTGTAGGTGTCTGTTTTGAGTCATTTTTCAATCCTTTCTGCCCCTATAGGTGATAGGTGATAGTTTGATATCTTCATGAATCTGCTGGTTGGTTTGTAATAGAGACGAAGCAGAAGTCACCGGAAACACTTCACTGAGGGTAAAAGAACCATTGTTCATGATTGAGCAGTCGGGTTTTCAAAAACTGACAGGGTCACATTGCTACGCCGCAACTATGCTCAGATCGAGGCCTGTGTATTTTCAATTAGAATATTGCATTCTCACTCAGTACACTAATTAATAAACGAAAAATAGAACATTAATAAAATACAGTTTCATTCATAATGCCGTACTACTGATGTACATATATCCACCAATACAAAACCCATTTTTTTTAAATGTATTATCATCACTGAAGTCCCTAGTAGAGCAGTCACAACGAACAGTCTGCAAAACAAGGCATAAACAAAATGAACCCAACACAGTGGTAGTGTAGACATAACATTCAGATGACAGCAAGTCAAAGCCATAGCTAATTACACTGCATCTGCGTCACCAAACAAATAAACATAGAAAGTCCAGGGCATCAGCGGCACACAAACACACTAGCTAACGAAACCGAACTTCATTTTTGAGCATGAGTGGATAGTATTATGAGTTCAACATCTACTAAAAACAAGTAAAATGTGCTATCATAGAGCCAGAACGATTCCAACTGCCATTATTTTATGTATTTATCATTTATAACGTGCATTGATTTTCACTTTTACGAACTGTTGTAGGACCTTCACCTATCCACTTCACGCAGGGAACATAGAGTGACCTAGATACAATCTCACCAAATTTTCTTGTGTGTTTTCTTATTTATATAGAGGAACCTGAAGGATAGATTAAAATAGGGGGAAATTCTGTCACTAATTAAACGCTCAAGCCTACACTCGGGCATTTTTTCTTCCTATAATTCTAAACAATCCTATGCACTGCAGGAGTCTGCGTAGTTTCAAGAACTGTTTTGAATGTTTCTATCTCTTACCAATCAACACAGGCACTTGAGACAATTTAGTCATCAAAAACGAAGTATGCATGCTTATTAGCCTGGTCTGCCTCTAGTTTTTGCTAGGCACTATAAACTTTTTCCATATTCTCCCATAAAAAACGGGCTGAGAAAGTTCACAGCAAATTTAAGTATGACCTACTCGTCTCCACTCATATGCTTGCACAACAAATCCACCTTTGAATCATATTCTTGTGTTACTAAAAACAGATCCATGTTTCTGCATTACTAATCCACCTTCCTCCACTCACTACGGCCAAGATTTCATTCATACATTATATTTCTCAATGTTAATGCGTGTACATATTGCTAGCATATTATTCTTTTTTTAAAGAAAAGAGATAACGATCCTAAATAGTTTCATTATTTTTAGTTCTTAAAGATTTGGAAACTCATACCATTGAAAGAAAAATCAAATTTTCTTCACAGAAAAAGGCCCCAAAAAAAAAAAAATGGTACATAATATCAATTTATGTTCTTCGTGACCATGGCATATATTCAATAGTCATCATCGGCTACATAACAAAAAAAAGTTCAAGGCGCCTGCCTTTTTTTTTTTTTTTTTTTTTTTTTTGGGGGGGGGGGGTTTCAATAATC